AATACTGTATATATATATATATATATATATCTGTGTCAGTGTAAACAATTGTACCTGATGATGACAAAACCTTGTCAAAACGTTGTACATTTGCTGTTATGTTAAACTTAAAGTGTTTTTTCATTACCCATTCAAGCCGTCTCCAAGCATTATATATATACATTATGTCTATTATAGTAAGATAGTAACTTCCCATAGATATTAAATGCAGCTGAGTTAGATCTGTTCTAAATGTCCGCAATTTGGGAGTAAAGTTTAAGATTTATGGGTAAAAAAGCACAGACTGTAGCTACTTCTTTTCATTTACAGTCAAACATTGCTCACCTCATTTGAATAAGCAATGCATAAATGTTTTAATTAATTTAAAAGTGATTATCAGTATTGTTTTAAACCTCCTTAAATCAGAGTGTTTAATAATGTATTAATTAGGTGAGGTCCCACTTGGAGTACTCTGTACTTTTTTTAGTAAATTGTTCATGTAACGTTCTACTTATGCACGTGTCATTTCATGGCAAAATGTATAATCATACATTTGTTGGCTTGCTATTCTTTATACAAATTTTCCTTCTAATGTTTTATGTGTTATTCAAAAATGTTCCTAGTTTCAGTTAATCGCAATAATATATACAAGGTTTAGTTATCTAATCTGTCTTGAAATCTGTTCATTGAAACGTTAGGATGTTAATTGATTATTTGAAGAAATTTTGAATTTTTGAAGTCTGCTTAGAAGTTATGAGATGATGTTGAAATTGAAAAATGTCAGATTTAACTTTCGTGGTAATGACATTATGATTTTTATGTTTATTTATACGATATCTCCATATTCATATGGAATGCAGTGTGTGTGATGCATTATCTATTAGTTGTAAAACTATGGGCATAATTTAAACAGATTTCAATGCACAAATCAAGATGTACACAGTTCCATTAACTGAAATTTTAGTAATACTCTCTGGCTGAAGGTATGTGATTGAAATACATATTAAACAATCTAAGCTATGAATATAGGTTAATTTCAGTTTAACATAATTGTTTTTAAGCATTCTAGTCATGTTTAGAATTGGCATTTTTTATTAAAAAGTTTTGTTTGTGCTTGAATTTGCATATAAAGATTAGAAAATATGCAATAAACAATAGAGGAGTTATACTCATTTGTAATATTTGACTCATTCAGATGCTGGTATTTCCTACTAAAAATATCTTGTAGTAGAAAATAAGCTGGACCTTGCTCACTCTATAATGGTAATGCTATGTATATTTTAAATGGTCGATGTTTTAAATGCATGTTGAGTTATCTGTTTATTCAGACTGGAGTAAGGAAAGAAGTTCTCTTTCAGTCTCGGAGTCCACAGAGGTCAAAATTAAAATTATATCCTTCAAATGATATCATACCCACAATGCATTATTTTTCTAATATGATAGATTTGTCACCCAGCTACTTCAAGAATTGATCTATTTCATTGCTGGTAAAGAGAATGAACCTAAGAAGCAGGATCCTTTAGATTTAATTGTAACACATCCAAATAGGGAGAGACAGAAGCTTGTCCGAGAACAAAATATACTGAAACAGGTATTGGAAATAGAGCACCATGTGATGTCATTTTTTTGTTTTTTGTTATTAATAATTGTGCAAGTCTTCATAACTCTTTATTTAGATTTTTTTAAGATCATAGAAGTTAGAATTTGTGTGTGTGTATGTACTTTTTTTGTGTTAGAAAACATTTATGACTAATTTTTTTTTACATCTGAAAATTTTATTTTTTTAAGTTTGTGTTAATTAGGTAGGAAGTATTACATTTTGGAACGTAAAATGTTTGTGAATTAGTAAATAATTAGTTAATCAGTAATAATAGAAGAAACATGTTTCTAACAATAGCTCTAAAAGAACAGGTAATTGTAACCCTATCCATTTTGGATAAATCAGTGTGATTAATTTGTGCAACCACTGCTCAAGTTACAAAATTATTTTTGCTTTGTATTATATCAATTTTAGAAATCTGTATTTGTATAAAATAAATGAACTACAAGATGATTTAAATTTAGTAACTTGATAATGAGAAACTAACACATAGCACTACCTTATTTGAACTAAAAAGCACTATGAGTACACTGAACTTTTCCTGCAAATATTTCTTATTTACAGGATGAAAGTGAGAATGATTGAATAATTATAGGAAATAGCACTTTTAGAGCTATTTTTGTAAAAATCTGTTGCAATGGATAGCTATTAAATCTAACTGCCCCCCAGTGGCACAGTGGTATGCCTGCTTTTTTAACACACTAGAAACCAGGTTTCGGATACCCGTGGTGAGCAGAACACAGATAACCCATTGTGTAGCTTTATGCTTAACTTCTAACAAAAACTTGAATGTAACAATCGGTATTTGCCTTTGTGCGGAGTTGGGTTGATACTGGTTGCTACTAGCCATTACTTATTATTTTAATACACTATAATTTGGCTAATTAACTGATACTGTGGCTGACATTTAATATAGAGATTCCCTGGTATAAGGAGGAACATACTTTGAATTACATTGGATAGTTTTTTTGCACCATTCTTAGATACCACCTAGAATTAAAATGTTGAATTAAACTTGTGTACTTCATTTGCCTAAACAGTGTTTTCTAATAATGGTAACTTAATGTGATGTAGGGGGAAGGAAAGGGTTGTTTATCACTGTTAGAACAGTAAATCAACAAATGAGAAGTGACAAAAAAAGTATTATTTTTATCTGATCTGTTCATGACCTGCTAGAACAGTTCTGTTATCTTCTACTAATGTTTGAAATTTCTACGTTAGTATTGTTTTTTCAATTAGTTCAGCCTACAAGGTATAAAAAAATAAAAAAATTCAAACAAGCTATTTTTAAACCTATGTGCACAATGTCGAACTATTGGATAGAGCCCATACTAGTGTAATTCTAAATTTAATGTCTGTATCTTCATGAAATGTGTTAAATAAACATTACAAGTGTGTCATACACAAAAAATCAAAATTTTTAATAAAGTGTTTTACTAAATATTTGTCTGTGAGTGTATTGAGTCAGTTTGACCCAGACTATGAGTAGCCGGAGTGCAGGGTGATTTTCATGTTAAGATTAAAAAAACTTTCTTTCATCTTCTAGGTTTCATATTTTATTAGCATAATCTCTAAGAACAAAATTAATACCAAAAGTTTTTTAATGTAAAACTTTTTACTTTATCTGTTATTTTCTCTACCGTAACACTAACTTTACGTAAATCATCGGTAGTGAAAATAGAAAAATTACAATTTTTTACCTCAAAAGTCTCAGGCATCTTCACTTTCGTAAATGTTTTCAGTAAATTTCATTGCTCTTTTGAACTAACTAAGGTGAAAGACAATAAAGCAACCAGCTAGAGTGTGGAGAGCTTAGGGTAAATATAATTTCAGGTTACATCATGTGACATCTAACTATATATATATGTTCTTTTGTAGGTTCCTTGTGATGTGATCATGAAAAAATTTTATTTATTTATTTTCCATTTAAACCTTTTTGTATAATCTAATAATCTTTAAATCTTTACATATCAGCTACTTTTGTTTAAAAATGTGTATCAATAAATGAAAAATATACATAAAAACAAAAAACTTATCACTTATTATTGCTTATAGGCCTATTTGTACTCCAGAATATGCGTCACTAAGACTACCTTTTTCTGCACTATATTGTTCATCCAAACAATAGTTCATGCATTTTAAAACACAAACAGTAATTCAAACAATAAAATAGGATTCCCCAAACTACTATAATTTTCCTGGCTTTGTAACTAACCTATAAATAGGTTTAAAAAATTTCACAAAATTTCATTTTTTACAAAAGGAGATTAACAAAGCCATCATAATCGCAAAGTTTACAAAATGGCTTTTCTACTGGCTTTAAACATGCACCACTGAAAAGTAAGTGTAAATATGCAAGTGATTTCAACACATGAAGAATTGGGAGGAGCTTTGGTGGGGGGGGGGTGTTACAAATTATTAATATCTCAGAAAATAAAAAAGGTTGGAGGTTCTTATATCAAATTCTGGCCTGACAATATTTAGAGTTGGTGTATCTAATTCCTGGACACTCTGAATCCTATATAAAGGAAGTAATAAAATATGAAATGGAGAATTCAGAGCAGAAGGACAACACATGACATATAGAAGTGAAGACTGAAAACTTTTTATTTCTTTTTCAAAGTAAGAAATTAAAGCTTACATAATATTAAAATTTGAATTATTAACTACATTTGGATGTAAAGATTATTAGCATACATTGCTAATAAATTGTTTAAATAAATTTTTAATGTAATTCTGTAATAAGGTAATAAACTTTGGCTCCTCTGCCATGCACATATTTTTAATCTAGTTCTTCCATACTTTTCCATTTCTACTCATGGCCAGGTTGATAAGGCGCTCAACTCGCAATCTGAGGGTCGCAGGTTCGAATCCCCGTCCCACCAAATATGCTCGCCCTTTCAGCCATGGGGGCGTTATAATGTGATAGTCAATCCCACTATTCGCTGGTAAAAGAGTAACCCAAGAGTTGGTGGTGGGTGGTGATGACTAGCTGCATTCCCTCTAGTCTTGCACTGCTAAATTAGGGACGGCTAGTGCAGGTAGCCCTCGTGTAGCTTTGCACGAAATTCAAAAAACAAAAAAAAAACAATTCCATTCAGTCAATGAAAACTACTGTACATCAAAAAATGCTGTACTTTGAGCAAAATTAAAAAACAAACCATTTCTACTAATTCACCTTAAATCTTTATTTCCTTTTTTTAAATTTTTGCTTACTTATAAAAGGAAACTCCTAGGCACAACTGACAGAATAACATCACAATATGTTTAACTTGTTTATACCTCTCTTGTTAGCTAATGATGTTCAAGATTGGACTGAACCGACTCTATTATTTGTAGAATCTGGCTGTGTGACTGTTTTTTGAAATGTTTTATCAGTAATAACTGTTGGAAACATTTCTACTTGTCATCTTTAGTTTCTTCATAATACTAGACCATTTAGCTTATCTTGGCTGAGTTAAGAAGTTTCTGAGTGTTTTTGTAATTTATTTTCTTTCACAAGAAGTGCGTATAGAACACACTAAAAAATATTGCATACAATATTGTCCTGTTAAAACTTTTAACAAATGTTTCTAGCAGTATTACTGTATGTTTCCGGAAGCATTCAGTACAATTGGGTATCTCATGATGAGAATGGACATTCGTTTTATTTTGACTTGTATTCTGATGTGGGTTTATGTTCTCCAAGTTAGTCGAACTCCACAAATACGAGATAAACCATAGTAGATTCCTCAATAAAGATACTCTGAATATTAATGCTTCTGTTGTATTTTATACAAGTTTCATTAAGGGTTTTATTTGAAATGTGTTGATAACAATAATGGACATTATACATTTGTAATGTTAGGCAGTTGCAGTGCATGTTGTAATGGGTCGGCAACCTGTGGCTCGCAAGCTGCAAGCATCTCTTTAAAGAGATTTGTACGGCTCTCAGTCTTTATTCTTACTGTGAAGAAAAGTTGAGAATCTTTGAAGCACAATGGGTGTTAAAACTTTAAGCTCAACATTTGCAATTTTTTACTTAGAATAGAGTTGTGCTGTTAACATTCCAGCTAACTCCTAAAATGTCTTAGAAGGCTTAACTAGACAAAAAACAAAATAATAATAATCCACCGAGGGGAATTAAACCCCTAATTTTAGCATTGTAAATCCAAAGACTTACTGCTGTTCAACTGGGGGACCTTCTCAAAATGTTTTGGTCTTAGACAAAAACCAAAAAATGGCTCTCCTTCTTTGAAGGGTTGCCCACCTTTGTGTCAGATGGATTCGGTGCTTTTGTAATGTTAGACGGATTCAGTTCAAAACTGATGCAGCTCGAATCTGCCCTTTTATTACTTCATATTTTTTAAATGTCATTAAGGAAAGAAAAGCACAATCTGAAGTCTTTTTTTTTTTTAAATATACATAAGAAGATTGTTTTGCTATAGCTTAGATGGTTATGATAAAATGTTTAAAATAGTTGCTTGTCAAAAGTTGACAAATGAGAGATCTAAGTTACAGTCCATGTGAGGCATTGTTTTAAGGAGACAGTCCTAGAGCATGTGAAGTATGTTGATTTTAGATAGTTACAGATGTGTTATAAATTCATCTGAGGTTAAACTAATAAATAAAGTATGTAATAATTTAGATTAAATACCAGTCTGCCTTCCTCAGATATTTTCAATGCTAAATTTGGACATCTTCCTTTCAGCTTATACATGTCATTATATACTAGTATGTATGTCTAACGAAATCTTTACATAAGAATAAAATAATTTTTCCCTTTTCACCTTTTTTTATTAAAAATTATTTTAATACTATTATATTTTTCCTTTTTAGCTCTTTAAGCTTCTACAAGCACCATTTATCGACTGTGGAGATGGTCCTATGCTCCGTATTGAAGAACTCGGGGATCCACGACATGCCCCTTTTAAACATATTTGTAGACTCTGCTACCGAATCTTGCGTCTCTCACAGCAAGATTACAGAAAGAACCAGGTAGGGTGTTGAACATCAATGATTGTAAATGCCTTAAATATTGATTTTACTTGAGGGGAATTTTATTTAGTTAAAGAGAGAAATACATTATTATAGTTTTTTCTAAATATATTGAGGAGAAAAAATGCATGTTGATGTTGTAAGTTTAATTGGAATTTTATTAAAGTTATTTATCTGTTTTGAACTAAAATTTAACTTGGGTTTTGACAGATTGGGTTGGGGGTATGGGATTTTTATCAAAATTTTTGATTTATTAATATAAATTATGTTATAAGAAAAGCTAATTCAATAAAGAAATATTTTCTAATATATCTGTAAGTTATAATGGCTAGACGAAAGCCTTTATTTTTATTTAGCTAAAATCGGGCATTCTGATACAAAGCAACAACAACAAAAAATACTGATCTATAGATCACACTTTGTCAGCATGAGGTGTCACATAACATATTAATTAATATATTATAAAACAACTGACTTAAATAGTATTTTGCCCAAAGCTTTGTTTATTCCATGCCAAGCTGATCTGATGAGCTCTTGTATTGAGCAAAATGCCTTTTGCAGTGTATAATACAGTGTGTAGTAGAAATGCTATTATATCGATTTACTGGAAACCCGTATAGACTAAGTAAAGAAAGATTTATTAAAAATTACTATTGGTCTTATTCTGATGTAATATAACAAAAAAAGAAAACCATCTTGCAGTCTTTTTTTTATATATTGAGTAGACATACTTATGAAAGTTTTCATTGTGTTTTTTTATTAATGCCACACTAACTGTTTATTAAAATAACGTTCACCTAACTGTTTATTAATTTGTTGCTTGTTGGTTGTGTAGACTTATTGATCTTAAGTTTCAGTGTGATCCATTGTAAAACTAAAACTTGATAACAAAGGAAAATTCTAAGGAATTGTTATCTTAAGGCCTGTTTATTAGATAATTACCAAATGACCAGAATTATATGGATAATTCAGAAAACTCAAGAATAATTGGATGTCAGATGTGAAGAGACCTTATTAATGTGACAAGTAAATGTTAGTAATTTGATGATATGTGAAGATGAGCTATAAAATCTGGCATTTTGCTTTGGAACTAATATAGATGTATAATATTGGAAAAAAAAGTATGGAAAAAGGTATAAGAAGCAAGTTCTGTGGGAATGCCACTCCTTTATCATGTGAAAATGAATTACACTAAATTTACATGATGAAAATTTACAGTGTGATTATTTGTCATCCACCTGATCAGAAAGTACCACACTAGTATAAAGCCGTTAAAAGTATAGGCAGTCATACTGTTATACATCTGTTTATACCTAAATTTTATTGACCTTTGAACCATGCCTTAACTAATATTTCTGCCACATAAGTTGTAAATCACTTAAAGAATGTGTAGTTAATGTTACACTATTAATTTACATAAGAGATGAGCTACTCAAGAGTTACTCATGAGCGTACCTGGTGAAAATTTATTATTATTATTCTTTATTTTACCTAACCCAACCTTATCTAGCTTAAAAGTTTATATTTTTTACATTTTAGTTACTTTTATTATAATAAAGAATACACATGAAAAACCAAAAATAAATTACTTATGTAGGTATTTTTTGCTGTCAACTGTCGATGAAACTTTTTTATACTAATGGAACTACTGCACTAAATAATTTAGTACTTAATTAAACAATGCACCAAAGAACAAAGAATAATAACATGCAAATAAGACAATGTCCCTTAACTATCATAATGTTTCTGGCTTTCTAGCTATGCAACAAGAGCTGTTAAAAATTCAGCTGAGGTTGTCGATGTGTTTTCCATGGAAATAAAGTTTGAACTGGAAGCAAAATAGACAATTTTCTTTACAGGAAATAATGTAATGTAATACGTCATTTGATAGTTTAAAACTTTGGATTTCTATATGTTATAAACAATATAGCATTAAACATCAGAATTCTTGGCAATTTGTGAAAGAGAGGATGTGACAGGTAGGTATGGGAAGTGGGTCTGGTTTTTTAGTTTATGGTAAACTAATAAGATGGAAGGCTATATAAATTAGGCTTTGCCTGAGCGATGACAACATTTTAATAAGTAATTTAAGTTAAATTCTGTACCTCTCAGTGGTAAATAAATTAGAAAAGAGAGAAGACTTAGAGAGCAAATGTCACAATTCGCATACTAGGGGAAATTGAGAACTTGTGTTTCTTTTAAATATTGCCTTATAAAATTAAGAACTTAAAGCTTATATAATATTAAAATTTGGATTATTAGCTACGTTTTGATGCCAAGTTTATTTGTATACCATGATAATAAAGTACTTCAGTTAAATTTTGAATGTAACCCTCTAAAACCTTGTGCATACACAGAAAAAGATGCTTGTAGCAAAAGTGTTAATTTAAAAAGTAAGGACATGTATGTCATAGTAGAGTGTAATTAAAAGTCTTTGCTTGAATATAATTTGTTTCATTGTCATGTTTAATATGCTTAAGATAGACATTTTACTGCTACTAGACAGAGAGTAATTTGAAAAAATATAAAAAAAATCCTTGGTAGTAAAAGAAGTATTTCTTTGCATAGTTATACACTGTGTAAAATATAACTTTAAATCCATTATTTGTTTTTCTTGAGAGAAAATAACATAATTGAATCCATATACAGAAAACAACTTTGAGCTTGTATAAAATTATAAGACACCTTTGAATTTATGTACGACATCTACTTTGTAAGGATCGGTGTGATGTTATAAATATGGGTTTAGTTGTGTTTTACATTTATGTTAGATAAATAGGTGTTTTGTAACTTATGTGAGAGACTGTATAAAAATGTTTAATTTTCTTCTTTACTTTCAGGAGTATATTGCCAATTGGTTTGGCTTTATGCAAAAACAGATAGGATATGATGTATTAGCTGAAGACACAATTACAGCCTTGTTACATAGTAATCGAAAACTTTTAGAAAAACACATCACAGCATCAGAAATTGAAACTTTTGTAAGTTTGGTGCGAAAGAATAAGGAAAGCAGGTATTTAATTCTTGTCATTTTTTTTTATCTATGATGTGTTTAAATATCTGAACTGGAGTTGTAATTTCTGCTCTAACTGTCTTTTTTGTTTAATTGCTTTTGAAATCTGATTAGATTTACTACCTGCTTGTATATTTCTAAAAAAATATTAGAAAAAAATATCAACAGCTTCATGCTTGTAATGTTGTGTAATCAGTCTGTGCGACATATTATGCTACAGTTTTTAATTCCATGGTGTGTTATAATTTTGGTTATGAGCAGAAACATGTCTAAATCAGGGGTGATAATTCTCCACCAGTCGGCTGTTTCACGCATTTTAAGACATGCTTCTTTAAATTGAAACAAATATGATGAGATAATATTTTCAATATAAAGAGTTGAATTGGAGATTGAACACAAAATTCTCTCACGTATTCTATGGACAAACCTTTGTTACGATCCTGGAAGTAAACACTGAGTCTGAATGTACGCTTGACCAATGACAAACAGGCTTGGCTCTGCTTAATAGATCGGCACCATATTAGAACTAACACACATGTTGTTGTTACTGCATTTATTTTAGAGTTGAAAATAGTACTGAAAGTCAATGAAGGAAAATTCTCACAAATTAAATGGGCTTATTAAAGGTTCATTATAAAATAATAATCCTTATCCAGAGAAACCCAAGAGCAAAAGAATACTGTCCTTGAAATAATTAAATGTCCCGTTGTGAAAAGTTAGTATTTTTTCTACTATTATTAGTGCACAAATATAGGGGATACACAATACTGAAGCAGTAATTTTAATGTTAATTCTGCATGAACATCTAAATAATAAGTTAAAAAGCACTAGGTTTCCTTTAAAAATAACCCATTTTGTACCATCCTTGATCCTTCTCTCAGATTATGGTGGACCAAGGGCATAGCTGTGCTTGCCATTACCTCCAGATTTTTTCAGCCTGACCTATTCTCATTAACTTGTGTTATTTTCAGTTGTGTGTGTGTGTGTGTGATTCATAACATATTACTTTAGTTTTTTGTTATTTAATTGTTTACATTATTCTGAAAAATGAAATTCTGTGAACCAGTCCATCTGGCAGTCTATAAAAATTGTAAGCTATTTTTTTGACAAATTACACACCAATCAATTTTTTATTCATTTAGTTATATCAGCTCAATGAATGGAAGGTTATTATAAAGTTAAACCGAGTAAGCGAAATATAACGAAGAAAATAAAGTAAGTTGTGAGTTTTAGTACAGTATCATATGACTCTGAAAAACTTGGATTTTTAAATGTGTTCTGTTCTGGCTTGGCTAGATTCTGAGCAAATGAAAGCACTGTGTGTTGATAATTAAGTGTATTTAATACAATTAAATAATTAATATTTGTGGAGGTTAGTAAATATTCTGCATTATTTATTTTCGCAGATTTTTGGATTATCTGTCGGATCTGTGTATATCCAAAAAAGTAGCTATTCCAGTCACACAGGAACTCATCTGTAAGTCAGTGCTAAGTCCCAAAAACTCTGATATTCTTATCCAGACCAGGTAAGAGTAGTACGAACTTTGAAAATTGTTTTAAAACATGTATAGTATTTTCTCAATATCTTTTAAATCTAAACTTTCTGGTATTAAACTGACATACGTTTCAGAAAAAAATAATTCAGCATTTTGTGTTCACCTATCATAACTGTGTTCAGGTATAACTAATTATAAAAATTATGAAAGTGTTTTAAACAACCATTTTATCAGACTGTTGTTATGTAGTGCACACATATATATGGTTCTGAAGTTTATAAAAATTTATTATGAAAAAGTATTATATAATCTTCGTAATATTGAAATCATATAAACTATATTTAGGATGGTGAGGACACAGATGGAAGTGGAAGTGAATATTCCAAGCTCTGATGGCCATGTCGATTCATTGATTACTCTTGAGGAAGAAGAGAATGTAGTATTGTTTTGGGACAATGAGAATGAAAGCAGGAGCATCAGAGAGTTGGCTGCCGGAGTTACTGATGGAAACAAAGATGACAAAAGTATTTTGGATTACTACAGGTTAGGGCAATTACTTCTTGAAACATATAACCATAAGACCTAATGTAATGATTGTAGTATTTCAATTCAAACCTGACTCACACAGGGTATTAATTGCTACAGAAATTCTTAGAGAACCAATAATTTACAAAATAAGCAGTTATAAATCTTTAGATTATTCATAGTAGTAATTGCTATATAAAAATTTATTTTACAATCTTTGAATTAAATGGTAATTGATAAAAATTACAAATGTTAGGAAGTTCTGGACAGTATTTTTTGTTTCTTATATGGTTCTCATACATTATAAGTAAAAATGTATTTTGTGCTTTTGTGTTAACAACTGCTTTTTTCTTGTTTTTAAGACATCAGCTGGATCTGTTCTCTGGAATGTGTCTTGATAGACAGTATCTAGCTATAAACAACTTGTCAGCTCATTTACATATTGATTTAATCCAAAAGTGAGTTGTTTACTTTTTTCCTTTATTATTCATTTCTGGTCCTTAGAGAACAAGTGTAATAATAAAATATGTGAATCTAAAACATACTTTAAAATACAGTTTATTTTAGTGTATAGTTAAATCAAAAGATGTACCATAGATCTGAAAGCCACAGAAAGATATTTTACTAGACTAAAACGAATTTAATTTAATTTTTTTGAAGATGTAATAATGTGTTTGAATAATAAATCTCAGTGAAAAAAAAATCTAAATATTGCACTTTATAATTTATCTTGGCACCTACTGTCTATACTTATCATTATCTTAATAACAAATGTTTATTGATTTAGATCTCAAATAAAAATTGGAATTTATTTTTTATTTGGATTTAAGTAATCTCATTTGATGTTGAACTCATTATGTGTTTGTGAACCAAAATGGTGGCTTTAAAGTAGAATTATAAACAATGTATTGTGGGAGCTCAAATCATTATCATGTATATATATGTCTGTTAAGGAATAGATAGTTCTTGTATTAGGATCATTGTTGACTTTTATTTTAAATTATATGCATATTTTCAATGGTGTTTTAATTATTGCCTACTGCTGCATATTTCCAATGGTGTTTTAATTATTGCCTACTGCTACATTACAAGCTTTTTCTCAACTAACAGATTTTTGTATAAATGGCAAAATCATAATATTCCATTAAGAAAAAAGATGTTTTATAGTTATATTTTAAACCACTTTTATGATAATGTAGTAACCATTGTTCTGATTTAATAACACTGTGAATTATTTTCCTGAGAAAGGTTAAAAACAAAAAATTATCATACAATACTTCAGATGAAACAAAACTTGTAAAATGTAGCTCCTAACTTTGAACAGATTACATATTAACCTAATACTTATGATACTTACTCCTGAATTGACAATTTACGAGGAATGTCTGACCACAGCCGTGCGTACTTCACCGGAGTAATCTGTTCCTGAGGATCACGATCAACATGCATGTGAAGCATGAGACGAGCAAAGGCTGCACGCAGGTCAAACGGCAGGGACTCATCTGCCATACATCTGAGCAATAGGCAATAATTAAAACACCATTGGAAATATGCGTATTGTTACCTCATGGTTTAAGAATTAAGTTAAATATACAACTATGCTTTGTGATAAGCAAGTATTTCAGTGTGTTGAAATTAAAGTTGCAATATACAAAAGAATTAACAATATATTTGTTTTAGATAAAACAGTTATGATTTTGATTACAGAGGAAAGTATAAAATCATATGGTGAAAAAAGTTTAAAATCTGTGCTTGGATTTGACAACCAATTGTGAAGACCATAAAACCCTTAAAGCACCTAGTAAACAAGATAACATAAAATATTTTACATCCTGTAATTCTGGATTGATTTATATTCATGGGATAAAATAAGCACTTATCATTTACACATAATTACATCTTATAAATAAACTTAATATTCCAAAAATTGTTTAATTTGGAAGTCTAAGTTCAAGGGAGGTCCAATTCAATCTACACTTTGATCAGCATTTGTTATAGGGTTATACTAGTTTCAGAGAATTCCACTCCTCATCAGTAACCCTGAACACAAGTTAACCAAAGAGAGATAAGCTGGACCTATATCATAGTGAAAAGTATCAAACATACATTGTCTTCCTGTTTCTTCAATGTATGTTTTGTTGCAGGAACATGGAATTTCTTAAATGATGTTTTTGTGTTTCTAATTGGTAGTTTCTACAAGACATTAAGATCTATTCTGGTGAAAAACAAACAGAAATGAGAAACACAAAAATGTCATTTATGAAATTCTGTGTTCCTGCAACAAAACATACATTGGGAAAATTGGAAGAAGACTCATGACAAGAATAAAAGAACATAAAGACAGTAAAAGACTTGTGAAAATACAAAATTCAGCCATTGCAGAACACACCATGTCAACTGGACACAAAATTAACTGGGGATAAACTAGAATCATTAACACAAACAAATTTTGGAAGACAAGAAAAATTAAAGAATCATTTTACATTAACACAATAAAACCTTCACTAAACAGAGATTCCGGATTAGAGGTGAGTAACCTGTAGCTACCATTGGTTGAATCTACAGGAAGTCTCTCCACCAATCAGAAACATGGATAAATCAACCAGTCATAACACGCTCTCCACAATCCACCAGAATACTATAAAGACCGACTAAACCATACATACACTGACCTGAAGATGAAAGGTGGAAGACTTTCAAAATGTCATCCTCTACACTTGTGTTTCTACAACAGGCAGTTGCCATCCATTCAACTGAGTTTCATCATGAATACTCTGCCTAAACAATCTAAAAAAAATGCTTATTTTCATGTCAATTGAAATATACCATACAAGCTAGATTGTTTTGTATTTCAGTGGCTGAACATTAGAATACAATTTGTCTTCAAGTTATTATGAGTAGGACAATGTTTTGGTTCAATGACACAATACAAGAAACTACTTAACTTATGAAAGTTATAGAATCGATTTATGTTAATATTATGAACCCAAATATTTTTTTTACTGTTATCCTTAGAATATTGATTAATGCTTTTCTAATCTTCGAGGTACTTGTTGAGGAGCTCATTCTAGATGATTTTGTGTTAATACAGTTTTGGGGTGTATTTGTCAGAAGTGTTGCACTGCTGTAACAAGCCTGTATACAAATAGTAAGAAATATTAAACAACAATATGTGATTTTCTCTTTATTGTAGCTATGATGCAAACAAACAACCAGATCTAAACAGGGAAGCTGTTTGGCGGAGGTTCACCCCAACCATCACATTTGTGGAGGATTACCTGTGTAACGTTGTTGGCCACATGTGGTCATTTGCTGACAAGGAACAAAACAAACTGACATTTGAGGTAATTTGATTACGTATTCCATTCATTTCTAAGCATTTTTTTGAAACTCGGGTTGTATTAACCGGCTAATTCAGTGACAGTGATTTTCAACCAGTGGAACTTGTTATGTGATACAGGTGAAAGTAAAGAAGACAAGTCACATTTAGAAGTGATGAATCAAATGAAAGTAGAGGTGATTTCTATTATTGTGGCAGAGAAATAATTTAAATCAAGTTTTCTATCCTCAAGAATGTAATTATATTTATTGTTTAAGTAGTATACTTGTTCACTGGATTCTTCATTTTCCCAGTTCTTCTAATTTTATGACATTTCTTAGCAATCTGAATCATTCAATCATTAGGGATTTATCATACATCTTCATGTTCAGATTTTTAAAAAATCATAAAAAAAGTAGCAAAAACTGTAAAACTCAACCTATAGGAAACAAGTAAAAAGAAAGTGATAGAAAACAAACAAGAGTTATCAAAAAAGGTGAAGGAATTTAATGGGCCTAAAAACATGGCAAAACTTGGACATCATTATCATTGTTTGTATATATGTAGATCTGCAAACTTTCCAACTCAGAATCATCATAATCAAATTCTGATACAAACTAACAAAATCCTTGGTTGATAGGTTCTCTTATAGTTATTGTCTGAACTTGTTTTCAAAGAAAAAGGCTACTCAAGTTGTTTGACCTGCATTTATTACATATCTGGGATCTCCTAAAATTGTTTGATTACAAATATGTGATTATTATGTTCCAAATGCAACAATAATTGTAAAGTATCTTGAAACTACTAGAATTTTATAAAGCCTACAAGTTTATAATTAAATTCCCAAGAAAGAGAATATCTAATGAAATATTGGTAGTTAAACATCCAACAAGATCTTCCTAAAAAATATATGTTCATGATCCAAAGAAAGAAATTGATTGCGAGTAAGGTAAGAAATCTTTGTTTTGTTCATGAATAATGTCAGTAGAAAATTAAATCTTTAAACATGAAATAAATGTCAAACTGAATCGTGACATAAATGAAGCATTAGAAACCCTTAAGAGTGATGTATGCTTATGGTCTGTAGGAATTTTTAGTGAAATATAAATAGCTTTTTTTTTTCTAAATTACTTGACTACAGTTTTGCACATAATCTGGTTATTATTCAAATTCTATAGCTTGTGCAGCATAAAATTTTTTAGGAGGAAAAGAGCTAACATGAAAAACTGTTAAATAGATTTTTGAGCAAGGATATATGTTTAATTCCAATTTTTTTTTAAGGAAGAAAAGGCACAGGAAGTTGTATACAAATAACTTTTCTTTTTGGAGTTTGATCTTAAGTTTGTTATATTTGAGGAAATTTATCTCTTGATTTTTATACCCAGTTTGATATTAGATGTCCCAGTTTTGTGTTTCACTCTGTGATACAACAAATCTTTATCTGTTAATTTCAAAGTGACCAAGCATGGCCTTGTCATGCTCTGTGGATTAGGAGGTCCAAGCTTTGAACTACTATATGCCACTGAATACACTCTGCACTTTCAGCTGGGCATAATAATTGTGACAATCAATCTTGCTGTTTGTTAAAAGTAACTGTATAGTAGGAAGGTGCTGCTGACTGTTTGCCCTTCTTCTAGTTAGCAGTCGAAATTAGAAAAGCCTCTGCTCTTAAGGTGCTGTTCAGGTGTAGAATAACTGTAATTTGTTTCTAAAAGCCATTTTAAAAAGTTATACAACTTACAAAAACATCTAAACCCTATACATAAGTTTCTTTTGTAATCTAAAAGTCAGTTTATGGACATATTTAAGAAAAGATACCTATCCTGCTTGTAATAATAATTTAATTTGGGTTTTATGTGAAAATTTGACCCACTTTTTTTGATAAGGTCAGATCTTATATAAACTTTTGGTATATATTTTCCTGTTGATACTTAAGTTCAATTTTTTAAATGTTACCCCTGTAACTTTTTAATTTTGTATATTTAAATATCTTTCTATTGTATTGACAGTCACGTAACATTTTGCATCATTTGCAACCTTAACACTTTTAGTCCCTTTCGTCACACTCATATTTTATAGTGTTCTGGTAGGAGTATTTTTTCATATATAGTTCTAGAAATTGTTTTCAAGACATAGCTGAAATATTGTAAAATGTTCAGCCTGTGTTATTCTGCAGTGGAATATTGCACAGTTAGCCCACTGTTTATCAGAAATCTGTGTGGATTATATAGCCATATCTCTGTTCTTAGTTCTTAATGTTTTGATATTTGGAAACATCAATTCAACCTCAAAAGAATCAATTTCCCATATTTATTCAAATGGTTATTGAAAATAATAATTTTGTAGTCATAAGACTATGTGATACTTAAAGTTGAGTTCATATGAGAAGGCAGATTAAGAACACTTGTTGCACATATTTCTTTCTCTCTGTAGACAGTGTTTTACTGTTGTTATTTTTAAATCATTTATATTAATTCTTTCAGGTTGTGAAACTGGCACGTGAACTGATTTACTTTGGGTTCTACAGTTTCAGTGATTTGCTTCGACTCACTAAAACACTACTGAGTATTTTGGATTGTGTTCCTGATTCCTCTGTTCTGAATGGCAGGTTGCCTACACAGGATATTGATGGTAAAAAAATGGACCATTTTAGTTATTTCAAATACTTTGCAGAGTTAAAGTTCTTTTTTTAGTTTTACTTTAATGCTGATAATGCATTTTTACTTGGTCAGGTCCTAGATAAATTCATGTATTGTTACAATAAATCTTTCTCTACATATATTACTCTACATGTGAGTTAGCAAACCTTTAACAAAAAAATGTAACATACAAGAATATACATCACATTTATTTCTGTTTTGTTACGTAAAGAAGCTTTGAGCTGCTCACAGTATCCTTCTTCACTCTCTGAAAAAAGATTTGAAACATAACTGACTCTTATTGTAAATAATGTGTGTGTGTGAGAGACAAAGTACATATACATGTTATTGCACATTACTTAACAACAGCATTACATAAATTGCACCTAAACAGTTCACCTCTTGTGTAAAATTAAGGTGTTATAAATTGATGAATGTATAAAGTAGTTTAGTAGTAGCAGCAGGACCATCCACTCTGTATCTTGTATATCATTAGAGCTTTCTTATGTTGCTTCTTTTAAAAGAAAAGATTCATTTAAAAATGCAGGATCCAAGATAAATTTCACAGCATGCCTTCATGACATTCTAAAACTTGTACAATGATATATGAATTTTAAAAACAATTACAGATTATATTATACTGGTTTCCTTTCTTTTTTTTACCTTTGTTTTCACTACCATAATTCTTACCACTTCTTTCCTATTTTTATGTTTTTTAGGAGTTTTCACCATTGGTAGCATGTTGGCCCCCTGGAAAATGAGAAACATAATTCTTACTTTATTCATTCAACATATATATATAAGACTTTTTTTATTCAATTCACAATTTCACACTATTTTGCTCCTTCATAGAATCATTTCTGCAGACGCCCATGGATGAATGATTGTTTAACATTGTACTGGGTGAAAATGGTTAAGATTTATAAGGGGGAAAAAATTATACTGCTCTGGTAGAGTTTTTACTTTGGTCATCTCAAATGTGAATTCAAATTCTGCTTTTCTTTCTTAATTCTCTAAGTAATTCTCATTACTGTTTCGTGCAACTGAGACCCTTAAAACTAACTTGATAATTTTAATTTCTCATGCTTAGTATAAAGAGTAAATATAAAGAAAACTCCAAGTTTGAAATGTTTATATTTTAAAGGACACACACGGCAGGGGAACAAAATTTTACGAAAGACACATTGACAGTCATAAGTTTTATTCAGGAAAGTTTGGACATTGTACAGGGTGTAATAAAAACTATATTTTACTGCATACTTAAATCATTTTTCTTGCGAGTCAAACTGCTTTTATTTATTTTATGATTCTCTATTTTAATAATACAAGATTGTTGATTGGAATAAAATGCATGTTATTGTTCAGGATAATCTGAGGATAAACACACGTTGTCTAAAACAAACAACACTTTCAGTACCCTTATTTAGGGATAGGCTGATTGAGAGTGATGGAAAGCATATTGAAAACCACCTGCGGCAGTTTTTGAAATACCATGCACTGTGTTCATTCTTTCCTGAATTAAAGGTGCAATTCTCTTTGTGCCACTGGTGATTTTAAGTTTTTAAGACATAATCGTTTTACATTTGGGGTTTTCTTTATATTCATCTGTTTGTGTATGTATATTTTAATTATGACATGTTCTATCATAATTCACAAGTTCTTTAAACGAAGTACCTGTATTATAATATACTTTTAAGTGTGGGTAGAGAAGAGTCATTTAAAAGATGGTTAATTAGAAGTTTAAACCCTTTTCCAAAATGTGTAAGTTAGTTTCAAAAGACAGTTTTTGTAATTTCAAGACTTGTTGATAGCTTGCAGGGGAGTAGCCAAATCTATTAGAGGAATGGGAGCTGTAATGACCAACATGGTGTTGAGCACTGCAGGGATAAGTGAGGAAATGGCAGCAACAATACGAAAGAAAGCATCTATAACAGGCTCTGAAGACACTCTTGTAATGGACACAAAACTGAAGATAATTGAAATTTTACAGGTACAAGTTTTTGTTGTGGTATTCCAAGTTTAGTTGATATTAGTACGAAGGTAAACTGCCCCCCAAATAGTGAGAGGTTTGAATATTTGGTTGGATGGAATGTTAATATGACAACAAATACAGAAAAGAAGAAACAAATTTGATAAACAAAACTAAGTGCTATTTAATTTACTATACACAATTGTCTTGCAGATTGATAACAATGAAATTAACGTAAATTTAAAACTAAAATCAACTTTATATTAAAACTAAAAATAAAATACAAGGCACGGTCAGCAAACATGATAAAGAACCTACAGAAAAACACAGCACCTAATTTTGGCCATTTCCGAGTAGAAGCTAATCTCCCCGATAGCTGCTCCTACAATTCACATGATCTCTGTAACTGAGCACTTACAAAGAGGATTGCAAGAATATGGAAATATCTCTGCTCCATGAGGCAGTCACAGAATAGTCCTTTATACACATGGTAAAGTAGGATAATATGTAACTATCCCTGGAAATATCTCTGCTTCTTGAGACAGTCACAGAATAGTCCTTTATACACATGGTAAAGTAGGATAATATGCAACTATCCTTGGAAACATCTCTGCTCCTTGAGACAGTCACAGAATAGTCCTTTATACAATAAGTAAAGTAGGATAACATGCAACTATCCCTGTACATATCT